TGAGTCATCATTCTCCTTCTCCTCATTCCCCAGTAGAATCTATCCTAACACATGTAACATACATCCCTTTGCTCATGTCTTTGTATAATATGTACTATTTTGAATATATTCTTCTCATTTAAGTAAATAGAGAAGAATCAATCATCCTACAACTCTGAAACTGACACAGCTCATCAATGACCCCCTAATCAATCATCTACAACTTAAACTGACACAGCTCTGGATACCAAACTTTTTTTTTTTCTCAAACTCACTTAGCAGCAAAATCTGACTAGAGCAACATGAGGTTATTTGTCATTCTTTATCCACTTGATGTAACTGTACCTACAATTTGCTGAAGGAGTATTGTGTTTGATCATGAGATACGGACTCTTTCCTTTCTAAAATCCAAATTTTTTAAATTGCAACACAAATGTGACATGATAGTTTTCTGTTTTTACTTTTGTATTTTATCTGAGTGTGATACTGTTATGGCATATCCCTGTTACTGCCCGTACACCCAGTCCCTTACTTCTAACTGCTGCAGATACCCTGGGAGGTGGATCCTCCCCAATTCACCTACTCACTCTCTCAGTGGGGGGAGATCGGGCTGCCTCCAGCTTCCCACTCCTGCAAATGATGACTTAACGAACATCCTAAGACATGCTCTTTTGTGGACTTGTATGAGAACCTTCTTGGCATATAAATCCAAGGTACGTAGTAGAATGGCTGGGCCATGGGTGTGAGTATATTTAATCAGACCAAGTAATCCAAGAACGCCCTTCAAATTAGCTATGTCTGTCCCCTTCCACTGTTTGATAGGCCCTGGAGCCCCACATTTCCCAATACTTCCCAATACCCAATGTTGGAATTCTGCCAGTCTACTAAGTAGAAAGTGTTATCTCATTCTTGTTTTCGTGTACATTTTCCAATACAGTTAATTATTTCAGTATGCTCATTAATCTTTGGGGTTTCCTCTTTGTAAATTGCCTGTTTATGAACTTTGCCCATCTTTGTTAGGATTTCTGGATTTTTCTTGCTAATTTGTAGGAGATCCTTGAATATTCCTTTATTGGTTTTTGAGACTGAAAAATAGTTTGATCAAGGGGACAATCAGGCCCCTGATCCACCAATCTTCCACCTCTCTGTTAATCTGGTCCATGGATAACAGAAACTTGTACAACAGAAATCCTTAATTTTTATGTCATCTAATTCATCAGTATTTTACTTCTGAGTGACAAGGGCAGTCCTCTATATTTTCTTGTACTGTAACAGTTTTTTGTTTTTTTGATTTTGAGACAGAGTCTCAAGCTGTTGCCTTGGGTAGAGTGCTGTGGCATCACAGCTCACAATAACCTCAAACTCTTGGGTTTCAGTGATTCTCTTGCCTCAATCTCCCAAGCAGCTGGGACTACAGGCACCCACCACAATGCCTGGCTATTTTTCTGTTTTAGTAGGCCTGGGCTGGGTTTGAAACTGCCACCCTGAGTGTATGTGGCCAGCGCCCTACTCACCAAGCTATGGGCACCACCTGTAACAGTTTTATTTTTAACACTTAGTATTTAATCTACTTCTGAATGGATTCACTTATATATGTTGTTTTAGGTTGAAATCCAGTTTTATTTTTCATGATACAGTGAGCATTTTCTATTAAACATTCCATGTTTTCCTTATTATTCTAGGTGTCATCTGTATTTTATACTAAATACTCAAATATATGAGTCTGTGTCTAATTTCTCTATTTTTTGTTTCAATGATCTATATGTCTATTCTTTTACAACTACTTTTTTTTTTTTTTTTTTTTTTGCAGTTTTTGGCCAGGGCTGGGTTTGAACCTCCTACCTGCAGCATATGGAGCCAGCACCCTACTCCTTTGAGCCACAGGCACCACCCACCGGTACTTTTTTCATTATTGCTTTGAAGCATGTCTTTTGGAGCTATGACTATCCATATGTGCTAGGGCTTGTCCCCCTCTTCATTATTCCTTGAATAGCTTAACTTAGATATTCATGGACTTTTATTCTTACATATGTATTTTATAGTAGGTTTGTTATTAAGTTTACCAGGAAATGTATTCATAGTTTCTACTGGAATTGTGTTGAATACATTAATTAATTAAAAGAGACATAAGCTTTTCATATATTGAAATCTTCTACCTACGGGTACAGAACTGTTAATTAAATCACCTTAGATTTGTGATCAGACTTTTTCATTATTTTTCTCTGACGACTATCCTAAAGTTGCCCTAAATTATGCAATGATGATGATGGCCTTAGATCTTAGGCAATTTTTATCATTATTTCCCAAATGAGGAAACTGAGCTCAGAGAAATAGCTTGTCCAAGAAGAAACGGCAAGTAAATAGCAAAAGGTAGATTCAAATAGTTTATAGTCCATAGTCTTAACCACCAGACTGCCTTGCTCGCTATAGGCAGGGAAATTAGTTTGGCCGCTTCTGTGAATGCTGTCTGCTTTTTATTATGTTTTCTGATCGGCTGTTGCAGGTGTAGAGAAACTTGGTTGGCTCTTTAAAGCTGATGGATGTATACAATGAAGTTGCTGGATTCGCTTTAGTTCTAGGCTATTCTCTCTGTGGGATTTTGTATATTAATTGTAAATAATGACAGTTCTACCTTTTGCTTTCCAATGTGTAAATATCTCATTTCTTTTTCTTTCTTTACATCATTGATGGAGACTCTAGTACAAAGTTATACATTATGTAGCAGTGGCCAAAATGCCCACTTTTGTTAGGGGCAAAAAATGTCTCTTGAAAAAAAATGTTATTCTAAAAGAAGATTTTTATTTTATCTTGGCCATAGTGTATCAGCACTTTAGGAAATAGCACTAAAGTTTACTGTGTCTGGTGGCCAAGATCTACTCTAAACAGAGGTGCTCTGTTCATCTAAGTAGCAGAAGCTACTTTTCCATTAGAGAGATCCCTTCCAGGGGAGAAATAGCTCCATCGTGATGAACTTGACTTCATTCTGACTTCAAGTGTATTTAACTCCTTCCTAAATCCCTCTGGCCAAGGCCAGGTGCAGTGACTCATGCCTATAATCCTAGCACTCTGGGAGGCCGAGGCAGGTGGATTGCTGAGTTCACGAGTTTGAGACCAGCTTGAGCCAGAGCAAGACCTCATCTCTAAAACTTAGCCAGGCGTTGTGGTGGGCACCTGTAGTCCCAGCTACAGCTAATAAGCAATGAATGCTGTTCCTTGGCCTTTCCTCTCAGGACTCTGAGGCTGAGGCAAGAGAATCACTTAAACCCAAGAGTGTGAGGTTTCTGTGAGCTGTGACACTATGGCACTCTACCCAGGGCCACAAAGTGAGACTCTGTCTCAAAAAAAAAAAAAAAAAATCTCTATCTCGGGAAGGCTGATGCCAGCAGTTGAGGAGGCCTGAGTCACAGCAGCTTCTCCTCACCGGCCCTGTCCCCATCTTCAGCAAGGGTCAGCCCTGCTGAGCACTCATGGTACCGCCCAAGGCCTACAGAGACGTCCCTGCTGACTTCCTGAGTCCCAGAGGACAGCAGGAGGAAGCCTCCCTCCTCTCTCCTGGGTGGAGAGGCTTCTCGCCTCTGAGATGGTGCAACTACACCAGGTGAGCCCTGGCGGCTCCTGCTGTTAGGGCCTGGGGCCTGGTGCAGTCAACCCCCACCCCCACCCCCCACACACACCCAGGGTGAGTAAGGCTGTGGGAGGAATAAGTTAACTGAGAGGTCCCACGAGAACTCCAACCCCACATGGGACTGCTCACGGTCCCCTCACACTCACCGCCTCTTGCTGTGACCCTGCTGCGGGAAGTGGAGCAATCTCCATTCTGCCATCCTAGGGGCCTCCATCTCCCTCCCACCTGAGGACTGACCAGCCATGGCCCAGCGCCCCTGAGAATCCCTGGTGCCATCCTCCGCTCTCCCTGAGTGGGGACTTGGCCACACCCTGCCCGCTGCCCACTCTGCTCCACCCTGACCCTGTGATCCATCCTCCACACCCGCTGAGGGGATCTGCCCGTCATGGAAACCCTTCCGAGCTCACTGCCTAAGTCCCTAGAAGACGCCCCCACTCTCAGACAGGCCTGACACCCCTTACCTGCACGTGCTCCCTCATGACCCTGTCCCACTCAGCTCTCCCACCACACCTGAGGGGCCCGTCCCCTCCAGCCTCCCTGACTGTGCTCCTCACCCCTGTCTCCCCTGGCGGGACCCTACATACCGTCCACTGGGGCATCTACTGCCGGCTTGTCCCTGAACACTCTTGGCGTGGGGGCCTCCTGCCTCCTGGGTCCCAGGGTTCCCACTAAGCACGTGCTGTTCCCTTGGCCTTTCCTCCCAGGCCCCTGTGCTCCCACCCCACTGCTCTCCTGGACACAGCCAGGAACTGGGATCTCTAAGAGAGTAATAACGCGTGGCCAGGCAGCTTCCATCCTTCTTGCATTTCAAACAAGACACTTCAACAAAACACAGAGAGTCAGATACGTGCCCCAAAAGGCCCTTGTTCCCCGGGGTGTCCTGCACATGGTGCAATGTCTGCCTGGCATGGAGGGGCCCATCTGAAGGAAAGAAAGATGAATAAATCGCTGATGCCCATCTAGAAATAGAGGTCAAGTTCAAGCAAGGCACATTCCAGATACAGGAGATAAGTGACACCACTCCTGCAATCTGTCGGTAGGCGGCGCAGCACAGCGGCGGGCGTTGGGGGGTTGGGGCTAGGGGGCTGGGACTGGGGGTGCCCGGCAGAGGCCTGGGGCTGAGAGTGGTGGGCGGGGTCGACCCTGCGTTAGGACCCCACGCCGCAACTCTGTGAGAATTTCGCTTTCACTTTGTGCCTGGCTGGAGGCGGCGGGGCCGTCCCGGAGCGACTGTGGCCGGGCACCCCGGCAGCCATCCGAAAGTGCCATAAGTCCCACGGGCCAGCCGCGCTCCATGTGTCACCGAGAAGCTGATGTAGAGAGAGACAGGGAGAGAGAGAGAAAGCAGAGACCAGAGCCCTGGGAAAGTCCTGCCGCGCCTTGGGCAATTATAAAAATGTGGCTCGGAGAGCCAGTCTCCCAACCACCGCCATCACCTGCCGTGGTCAGCGGTCCGCAACAGCTGCTCGCCACACTTCTGCGCAGAGCTACCTCAGCATGAGTCCCCAGCGCAGTGAGTACGGGCCGGCCGCTCGGCCGAGGCGGCGGCACAGGGGAGGACAGCTGCGGGGAGAGGGGCGGCAACTCGGGAACTAGGGACAGCCAGCTCCCTCCTGCAAAGTGCAAGAGAGGGGACCCGGGACCGGCGGCCTAAGGCGACTACAAAGGGGATTGTCTCTTTTCCCCTTGAAACAACCTGATGAACTGTCTTCATGCCCATCTCCCCATGACAAACTGGGGCCCTGCCTACCTAGGGTCCCTCAGCTACAGCTGTGTGGATAAGAAGGCAGAACCCAGCCAGCGATAAGTCAGGCTTTGTCACCCCACCTTTTCCAAAACACTGGGTCTTGAGGCTGGACCAGTCCCTTCATCACATGGTCCCAGTTCTCCTATTGGACAAGCCTGCAGCTTCCTCCGGGTGGGCACTGAGGGCAGCACCCTCTGTCCCATAGTGACTCAACTCTCAGGTCCTGAAACAGGTCCTGTGGGAAATGGGTGGAGGGGGGTGAAGATGGCCAGAGGGATGGAGGGCACAGCAGCCAAGCCAGGCCACAGCTCAGCCTGCCCTGCTTCCCTCCAGGCCTGCTCCTAGTGGCCATCCTAGTCCTCTTGGACCACCTCAGCTTGGCCAGGAACCTCCCCCGGCCCACCCCAGAACCAGGAAGGTGCCATCAGCATTCCCAAAAGCTGCTGGAGGCTGTCAGCACCACCCTTCAGAAGGTGAGCTTCTAACTTCCTCCTCTCTCTGCTGGTCTCGCTGCAGAAGGGGCCCCTGAACCCATCCTCTGCCGCCTCAGGGGCCTGCAGGGAAATTGTGAATTTCATCATAGCTGTCAGGAGTGGGAGAGGGAACTTTGCAAATGGCCCAGCTATTAGCTGAAGAGTCCCAGTGAAATTGTGTCTCCAGAGAATGCAGGGCTGGTGATAAATCCCAAGGGCGTTTGTTTGGCTGTGTGTACGTGGAGTATGGGGGCATTTACAGTGTCCCTGAGGACTGCCGGCAGAGAGGGGATGGTGTCAGGTCCACACTGTCCCTCCGACACCACGTATGAATCTAGGAAGCAGGTACTAGGGACACACTCGGTGCTGGGACTGCACAGGTGAAGTAGACGTGTCCCTGTGTCTGCTTGCCAGCTTCCAGTCCCAGACACAGTCTCAGGGAGGATTTGACAGTGCCTGTCCAACCTTCGTTGTCTAGGGAAGAGATATCTGTAATTGTTTACAGCTTCATTTGTATTAATAGGTTTCACATTTTAATGCATATGTGTGTGTGTATTCTTGCCTTTTAAAACCTTCTGCAAAAGTTATGGCTGCAAAGGCTTCAAACATGCCCCCATGATTTCTAGGAAATCTTTCTTGAGTGTTTTCTTGATTGTTGCATTATGGATATCTTAAAATCAGCTCAGTGGCAAGCCCTTCCTAAACAATTCTTTTTACTTTGTTGTCTTTCATAATGTTCTGTCAATTACTCCTCACATTCACTCAATCTTAATTAGACAGGAGCCTCGCCAAGTGAACACTGCACAGGTAAGCA